ATTTTGGCAGGGCATTAGAGTGAGGAGGGAGGAATTTGTGGCAACAATAAAAATGGTGAATGTTACTACAGGTAAATTATACTTTACTAAAAATAAAGATAAATCAAATAACAATGTACCCTCATCTTCTTTAAGAAAGAAAAAAAGGTGTTTTCTTATATTGAGATGAAATCTGACTCTAAGGGTAACATTTGAGGTTTAAGAAAAAAGCTGGGTGCAGTGGCAAAGTAGATAATAGTTGAATTTCTTCCTAGTTTTAAAAATATTTGCTACTTTTAGTCAACTTGGAGAAACAGAGATTGCATTTACCTACCTGCTGAAACAACTATTATACAAAATAAATGAAACAATGGTTTTCAAAATACTGGACATGAGGCAACAAAGACAGTAATATCTGACAGAAGGGGAGCAGGTGAGCCTTATGATTATCTGAGGTACTGTCATAAGAAAGTTTCCAGATCATAGCACAAGGAGGGGAAACAAAACAGTATCTGAAGAAATTAGGGCAGAAAAATTCCAAATTGCATGAAAACCTTAAACCCACAGACATAAGAAACTAAATAAATCCCAATAATAAGAAACATGTGGGAGGCTGGGTGTGGTGGCTCACACTTATAATCCTAGCACTCTGGGAGGCTGAGGCAGGAGGACTCCTTGAGCTCAGGAGTTTGAGACCAGCCTAAGCAAAAGTGAGACCTCATATCTATTAAAAATAGAAAAATTAGCCAGGCATTGTGGCAGGTGTCTATAAGTGCCAGCTCCTCTGGAGGCTGAGGCAGGAGGATGGGTTGAGCCCAAGAGTTTGAGGTTGCTGTGAGCTGGGCTAAGCCTACAGCACTTCTTCTATCCTGGGGCAGAAGAGTGAGACTCTGTCTCCTAAAACAAGAAATGAAACATGTGGGGAGGGATAACTACACCAGGGAATGTCAAAATAAAATTGTTTGGAACCAATGATAAGGAAAAAAAATCTTAAAACAATCAGAGAAAAAGATAAGATTATATACAGAAAAACAAAGATAAAAACTACAAGCAGGTATCTCATCACGAACAATGCCTGTGAACAAAAAAAAGATTTTTTTGAACATACATAAGCTGAAAAAATTCCTCAGTAGCCTACGTTGTAAGTTGCAGGAAGACTTTATGGCTATAGGAAAATGATACCAGATGGCACTGTAATACACAAAGGATGATGAGCAGTAGAAATATTTTTTTCATATTATTTCATAAAGAATAATGAGTATGTGGTTTATAACACACATATAAAATATGACAACAACAGCACAGAGACTGGAAGAAGAGAAATGGTAGTACACTGGTATAAGTTACGCATACTATATAGGAAGCAGTGACTCTATCACTTGAAGAAAAATGGTAAGTTAAAGATATACCCTATAAACCATAAAACAACCACTTAAAATAACAAAGAGTTACTGCTAATAAGTCAGCAAAAGAGATAAAATGGAATCATAAAAAATTATGTGATTAATTCAAAAGAGGGCTGAAAAAAAAGAATAGAGAAACAATGAACAGATTGAACAGACAGAACACAAATTACCAAGGTGGTAGAGTTAAACCTAGTATCAATAATCACAATAAATGTAAATGGTCTAACTATCTCAATTAAAAGGCAGAACATGCTACACTGTATAAATATTCAACTTTCAATAACTAGCTTCTAATATTAAATAGGAGAATAAAGCCTGAGATATATTCTCCTAAAATAGAAACATAAGGTTTGGAAGTAGGACCAAAAAAAAGAAAAAGAAAAGTAAATTTTTGTGAAAATTGTTTTAGAAAATGTGTGATGGAAAGGAAAAGAAAAGGGTGAAAGAAAATAAATGTTTGGATCATCAGTCTTAGAAAAATACAGTTTGCTACTCTAGACCAGAACCTTCCTCCTTACTTTTAACCTACCCATTACTTCTTCTGTCTTCCCTTTCTTCCCTCTTTCCCTCTATAGTTTTAGTTCATAGTCTATCACTTCAACCATTCATTCTTTTGCCAATTTTCTTGTCCCTTTTTTCCTCCATTAATTCAGTGAATTAAAATATTAATTATATGCATTCTCTTTAATTTTACCTAGGCTGCCAAGTGTGAAGACTAGAGCTTCTACATACACTAATGATCAGACACCTCACTTGGATCCTTAGCTTTTCTCTATCCTACTGTATTCCCTAGTCACTCTGTCCTCCTGTTCACCATCAGTATTTTAACCCCCTACTGTTCTTAAACATCTGACAGACACACTCTTAGCAGATACTCTTGTCTTATTCATAAAGCTATGGACATCCCTTAATACCCACCTGAAACTGAAACCCAAATCTATAAACCTGTTACCTAACTTTCCGCATTTTCTCTTGTTAACAACAGAAGATACCCTTCTCCTACCACTGTCCAGTTATGTTCAGAACCTACTTCCTATCACTTCGTCCTATTTTAAGTATCTCTACTTTTACTAGCTCCTCCTCTAAGAAACACACTCTCTCTCTCCTTCATGATGCATCCATTCAAGCTCTTGCCCTCTAATACCTTTCCTTCACCCTGACAACCTAAGCTTCCTGAAAGCTGAGTATGCTCAGTCTGTTTCTTCTTCCATAAAACCACTTGGAATAAAGTTCTCAGCAACCTGTGTATCACTTAATCTATAGATATTCCTCAGCACTCTGGGAATTAATCTGTAGTGCTAAACAGTCCTTCCTTCTGGAAATCCTCTCTTCTCTTGGTTTCCACTTTTCTGGCTTTCCTCCTACCATTAATGTAGTCCTTATCAGGTTTCTATTCTTCTACAATGCCATTCTTCAAGACCTTCTGGGTCCTCTTCTTACTCTGAATGAGGCCCCTAAGTGATCTCTTCTCCCAGAATATTTCCTAGTTTACATGCCAGGAATGGAGCAACCCCAGAGAAATTAAGTAATATTATAGGGATATTAAAGTGTAAGGGTAGAGTCAAACCAACATTTACCTGATTCTAAAGCCAAAGTTCTTTTTATTGAACCATGCTATTTGTTTATACATTTTTTTTAGATGTATTACAACCAGGTCTTTATACTTCTAAACTAGTATGTAACACAAAATAAAAACTCTTTTATGTAATACTGATTAAAATCATTTGCTTTAATCAGACTATATTTTTAGAATCGTTTTTAACAAATAGCCTAGATTGTTAAATTTTTAATTTAAGTACATCTCAGGTTACAAGAACAGACAAAGTAAAAGACACAACAATTAAAAAACAAAGGGAAAAATACAACACTGGTATTGCTCTAAATCTCAAGGATTTAATATTCAGCTGAGGAACTCCATTAATATTACTACCCTGAATTAACTATAAAATTGGCAGTACATTTAGAACTCGTTTTGGAAAGTTGTTTCATACATTGTCAAATATAGAAGCAGTGTGGCAAAGTGGGAAGAATATAAATTTTGGAGTCAGACAAACTTTGGTTCAGCTCCATATCCCATCACTTAATAGTTCTGTGACCTTAAGCAAGTTTCTCTATTTCTGAGTTTAAATTTCACATACATAAAAAGAGAATAAATATTGTCTTTACTGAATAACTATTTTAAGAATTAAAGATAATACACAGAGTGTACGTAAAATTCGTGTGCAATTTTAAATCACACACTCCCTAAAATTGCACAGGAACTTTTTGACTACCCTATATGTGTACATAAAGACCTCAGCACAAGGTAAATGATATGAATGATACCTTCAGATTAAGTTTAATCTGAAGTTATGCCAAAAATATATTCATCAGAATGTGATGATAACTTCTGAACAATTTTTCTCACTTTTCCCTTATGCCTACTAAAAAGTGAATTATATCTACATTTTTTAATATTTGATTATGTGTAAGTACCACTTGGTATTGTTTGGTGGTATGAAGAGGAAAGTAGAAGGAAAAAGAAGAAACAACACAAAAAGATAATAAATGTTACAGCTGTTAAACATGTTCTTCTGGTTACAGAACCTCCTGTGGGTAAGAAAGTCCAAAACAGTTGTCTACCTGAAAATGAAGAATTAGGTTTCAGGAATTAGAAATCCCCCTGTGCTTTAAGAAGAAATCTCTTACCTCCAAGGTTACTACTCTTTCTCAGGATTTCAAGGGCATGATGTACTTTGTACTGCACATCTCAAAGTTCCCATTAATGCTGGGCAGACCCAGCAAGACAAGGTTATGTTGGTGCATGTTACCCCATGAATTCTGATCCTTCCAGTAAGTGTAGAACATAAGCAGAAAATGGGGAACTAAAAGAAAGGGGAAGATGGAAAAGGAAGGAAGGTAGTGGAAAATGATCTAAATGACACTAAGTGATTAATGCCAAAAGATAAGCAGGTTAGAAAAAATAAGTAACATGCAAATAATTATAAATTAACTTTTAAATGTTGCTGCTACCAAAATAGTTGTCATTAATTTCTTTTTATCACTTAGACTTCCTTTAAAATTATCTTACCGGAATCATAGCTTGGAGGCTTCATATCTCCCTGATTCAATTCTGTCCCATATTTCAACTTGTGGTATTTGGCTCTAACAAAGAAATGAGAAAATGCAAACCATCTTAAAACATATTTATGTGAAATTTAAGATGTAACAGTAGTCATCAGTATTCAGCAGTTCAGGCTAAACACTTCTAGAACTTTCAAAGGCTCATAGCCCTCCATGGTATCAAGTTAATATAAAAGTACTTGCCTTTTTTGTTATTGTTACACCATCAAGCATCATTATAACAAAATAAAGAAATAATGCTGGGAATCATAAATCTTCTTTGTATAATTACCAATGAACCAAATAACAGTCTAGTTTCTGCAGTATTCAAATTTTCTTTTCTTTTTTTTTCAAATATTCTCAATGATTACCAGAGTTGAAGTCTACCAAAAACAATAAAAAAGGTTTGAAATAAACTTGTAAAACTAACTTTTCTCAAAATTTAGCTTTTTAAAAAGAAAAGTCATCTACGATATTATGTGCTTTGTCTAGTAATTACAATTTTCCAAGTATGCATTACAGTAAACAAAGGGGAGAAAATATCAAGCCCAAAACATCAATGCTGAATAAGATACTCCAAAAGAAATGAGTCATTTTTTAACTAGTCAAGATAAATTTTCTTTCACCCAGGAAGTACAGTGAATGGAAATAGTATCTATCTTCGTTTAACAGTTAACAGAGTATTATTATCTCTGATTTGTCAGATTTAACCATTTGAGACCAGAAAAATACTCCAGTTAAGGTAAAAACTTTAAAAAGTAAAAATGGCTATATCTGCTTAATGTATTTATATATTTTGACTTGTTTGCTCTCTAAGATATTGAGGCCATTTATAATAAATAATCAATGTGTTAAGAATGGGAGAATAATAAAAGCAATAATAATTTAAAACAAAATAACAAAGTAATTAAGAAAGAAGCAAAGGGTAATAGCCAAATTTGAAAGCTATATTTTTCTAAATAAAAAACTTAGCACTTACCATATGATTTTTTATAATTCAATGCAAGTATCAATAAAATAAATAAAATTATTTGCTCAAATGTATGAAGTACTGGAATCCTTCATGATTACTTTTCAATAATAATCATTTTGTAGTTACAATAGGAAAAAAGAACTGAAGTTTCATAGAGGGTTATTTTAAGAAAGCCTATGAAAATTATAGGCAGCTGATATCCTGTTTCTTATGTTATTTGGTTAATTAACTTTGTGTATATATGTATTTTAAGTTTTAGCAAATATGTTTGCTCCAAATTATCTACAACATCTATTCGCAGTGCATCCCTTAACCACAAAGATTTTACCATTGGACTAAATGTTTCCTACTCTATTTCGATGTACTTGTAATAATGTTGATTATTAGTGGACAAAATTTAAAACATTAATTGGACTTGTAGTTATCAGAAAAAAAAAAAAACAAGGTACTTAAAAAAAAAGATTGGCAATTGTCAATCTTTTGATTTTCCAGAAACATACTTCATTTACCGTAAGACAAAATAATAATACCTTTTAGAAGTCAAAAGAGCAACTGAACACTAGCCTGATAAATTAAAACTTTCAAAATAATAACGGCAATAAAATTTCAAGGAGTTTATTGGCATTTTTTACATACATGTAAAAAAATTTTTCAAACACAAAATACTGTATTATAGTGCATTCTAGTGGTCTTAGGAAAAATTGCAACAGAATTTACAAAAAAGGCAGTAGAAAATATTCTACAAAATAAATGTAATAAAAATAACACATTATGAGCTAGCATTTCATTAAAAATGTGACAAAGTCAGGCATGGTGGCTCAGGAGTTCAAGACCAGCCTGAGCAAGAGCACGACCCTCCCTCTACAAAAAAATTAATAAATTAGCAGGCATTAAGCCGGTGCCTGTGGTCCCAGCTACTGGAGAGCCTGAGGCAAGAGGATCACTTGACTCCAAGAGTTTGAGAGTGCTGTGAGCTATGACATCATGGCACTTCCCCCAGACAACAGAGAAGGCTCTATCTCAAAAAAATGAAAACAAAAACAAAAACAAAACAATTTGACAAAGACAAAATACATACGGAAAATATATACATAAAGAACTGCTATGGTTACCACAAGCTATGGTCCCTTAAATCAGGGTCTCCCTACTGAACTGTCAAATTTGCTAAAAAGTATTTTTCTCACTGAACCCTCTTCAAGCTTAGTGACATTACTTTTTATGTCAATATGCTAAAATACTTTCTAAACATATTTTTCCCACTATTTTGACACTTCAACTATGTTATCCATCTTGCTATTCTCTCCTCTTTCTTTAATTCTGACTATAAGATAAATTGGCAATGTCATGCCTAACTACTCTATGTTGATAGATCACTAAGCCCCCCTTTACTGGATAAAATGGCAGAAAAATTGTTTAATAATTTTTTTTTTTTTTTT